TTGTGAACCAAAAACACCCTTTCCAAACTTCTGACCCTACGTACGCATACACCTTTACCTACCCTTTTCAAAGAGAATCTGTCCAGAACACCACCAGAGCCAAAAGCTAGCCTTCACCCACAAACTTTTCCAACAGCCAGGTAAGCACCTGCTGACCTTCATCACGCTGCTAAGCATCATCAGCTGTGCATACTCAAATAAACATAATGTAAATATCATGTTGTTGCTGTTTATATTCTGAGGATTTTCATACCTCAGAACATTCTGAGCCAGTATAGGACTTGCCTGTGACCTTGTTGGTTCTGACCTCTGAAACATTTTTTTACATTTGCTGGATCTGTTCCAAATATGTTTCCTGTTTTGTGGAATAACAACAGAATTGCAGATGTTCTGATTAGTACAGGGAAAAGCCAAGTGCTGACTTTGACGTTAGCACATCTGAAGCCTGTTTTGCTGTCAATGATATCAGAACCTCTGAGAGTTATTGCCTTTTCAGCAGAATCAGAACTTCTGGTTTCCCCACTAACAAACTTCTGTCTTGCAGCGCAGGGGAGTCAGAACTTCTGATTTCCCCACTAACAGGGTTCTGTTTTGCAGGTGCCAGAGTCAGAAGTTCTGACTCATACAGTTTAACCAAGAGGTTGATAATCTGGCAGCGGATCTGAGTCAGAACTTCTGATGACCTCTCAGCAGCGCGCTGGCTCCCTCTCTCTCTCTCTCTCTATATATATCTTGTTTTTTTCTATTTTCTTTTTTGTGTATTTTTCTCGTTGAACCCCCCCCCCCCCCCCCCCCCCCATGTACAAATGTGTATCCCCATCCCCTAATTATTGTAATAGCGTAGGATTTTATATTTCCGCTTCTTATTTCTAGTAATTAGGACGTGTATGGCAAGATAAAATCAATGAAATAGAAAAACCTAATTCAAAGAAAAAACTCTTGTATGCAATAAAACACACTTGCACACTAACACCCCTAGGGTTACATCCATTTGTTGCCTTTCAAAATTAGGCCATATTGCATGTTAGGTCTCTTTGGGAAAAACAAACAATTCAAATGATCATAGTCCCTCGATGACGCTTTCGAAAGTTGCCTAAAAAATGATCAAGTCCCTTAAAAGAAAATTGTCCAAAGATACTTGACACCATTGCAATTATGGTCTAAACGATGACCCGCGCCCGTCCCTTTCACATCCTAACACAAGATTGTCCACCAAATATAATGGTGGAACAAAATTGTTAAAATGATTAAAACATAGCAATAATCTTTGAGAAATTAGGAGTAGACCACTCTTGGTCACTTGCCAACTTGCAAAACAAAACACTTGCCTATTTTCAAAACGACACATCACAATACACTTTCAAAACAAACTTTCAAAAATATTGAAAACATTTTCAAAAGACATACACCTTTGTATACATCCCAACATGGATCATTACAAAGGTTGCCACCACATTGGCCTCTTTTCAAAACATTTTCAAACCCACACACAAAGCACCATTTCAAACAATTGAAAATTAAGGCAAGTTGATCTAAGCAAGTAACTAAGAGACCATGGATAACCATGGATAGAAAGGGTGTTAATACCTTCCCTTTCTATAACCTACTCCCCGAACCCAAGAAAATATCTCAAAGGTTTTTGTTGTGCTTTTTAAACCTTTCCTTAGGATAAAATAAAAAGTCGGTGGCGACTCTTGCTCAACCAAAACATTTGCGAAAACAAACGCAAAACCATAGTCAGTTCTCCTACCGTATCACAGACATTCCTGACATCCTTTTGCAAACTCAACACAATATTTCAACATAGTGGGCCAATATAGTCCTTGTCAAAATAATAACAATTTCATTTTATGGCCTACTTGATGTGCTCCACAGGCTCCAGCATGTGTAGTTGAAAGGGCTATGTATGCCTCTGTTTCACTTAGGCATTTTAATAACACCCCTTCAGGCGTCTTTTTAAATAACTTGTTTCCCATTAGAGTATAACTTAGCACCCTATACTTTATTTTTCATTCTGTCGAAGCCACTGGATTTTGCAAATAATCCATTATAGGCTTTCTTCAATCTTGTTCTGTTAGATTATCTATGAACAAATTTTGAAGTTTTCGTGGTCAGCGTACCCCAGTTTTGTTGTTTTCAAATCTGTTGGAGACAACTTAGTTAATGTTATTCTTCCTCTAACTTCCATTACTTGTTATAATTTCTCTTTCGAAATTTTATACCCAGATGCAATTTGTGCTAAGTCATTAGCCACTTGATTTTCCAGTCTTGGTATATGTCGAATGTTGATCTTTTCAAAGTTTTTCAATAAACGATTGACTATTACAAAATACATGATAAGATTTTTCTCTTATGCATTTGTATTCAGTTTGATCCTAGGATTTATGTAAATAGAAAAGGGGTTGAGAAGAGTTTAAGTGCAGAAATCTGATTAAAAAGTGCAAGTAAAATGAAAGGAAAAATATAATGCAAGGAAAAATAGATTTTTGCAAGCAAGATAAAAAGGCAAGGAATGTAAAGAGGAATGTAAAAGACTTTGATTATAAAATGTGGTGTTTCAAACGTACATTTTCAGCATTCTTTCTCACGCAGCGGGTACTCGAATAATATTGAATGACTTGTACAGTTAGTTGAACACCCGGAAATCTACATAAACTTCCTATATTTATACTAAAACTAGGTAACCGTCGAGGAGTTGCTTTGCTCTAGGATGAGGACAAGTGTCTTCTGCATATGCTTCGACCTCTATCTTCATGCTACGTTACTTTCCTCAACTGTCAAGCGAACTGCGTTTCCCTCCTTTCTTCAGATTCAAAATCACATGTTGTTGATACGAGGTTTCCTTTCAGTCGAAGGCCCTGGAACCCTTTCAGTCGAAGGCCGCAAGAACCTTCTGGACGGAGATTAACTTTAACTCAGAAATTTCTCTAAATATTTTCCAATCTGTCAAAGTATTTCCAACTTAGATTTATTCAATCTATTTTTAATCCATAAGACCAATTTATTGTGGGTGTCGAATTTAAGAGATAACACGTACATTTTTAAGATATCTATAGTAAAAGTTTTGTTCTCGACACTTCTATTTTATTTAATCGACCAACATTTAATAATCATATATTTTAAAGATATTTATAGTAAAAGTTTAATATTCATACATTATAAATTTTACATAATTGCTCACATCATGATTAATCATATGTTTGACTTTTAAAATAAGTAAATTAAATGTAATTTTAGTCTCTTTATTTTAAATTTTAAATTTTAATCTCTTTTTTAAAAAAATCATTTTTTTAGTGTCTCTATTCAAAAAAATTTATGATTTTTTTATGGTTCCTCTTCATATTTGACTAGTTAGTATAACATGGCATTGATTTGGTAATGTTACGTGACGCTGCATCATATAATTTTATTATGTTATATATTTAGAAAATAAAAATTAATTTTATAATATTATTTAATTATAATAAATATTATTATATTTAAAAATAAAATAATTTTTTAAAAATTTCAATAAAAAATAATATTTAAAAATAATTTAATTGTTCTTTAAAAAATAAGAAAATTAAAAAAAAATTATTAAATTAAATAATATTATAAAATTAATTTTTATATTTTTAAATATATAACTTGACAAAATTATATAATGTAGCACCACATAGCATTGTTAAATCAACGCCACATCATGCCAACTACTCAAATGTGAAGAGGAACCATATAAAAATTATAAAATTTTGAATAGAGTGACTAAAAAGTTGGTTTTTTTTTTAAAGAGAGATTAAAATATTATAGAAATTAAAATAAGGAAAATAAAATTGCATTTAAGCTTATAAATTAAATTTTTTAATAAATATTTATACTTAAAAATAATAAAATGTCAGTTGAAATTATCAGCAAGTGATTTTAGAGATAATCAATGGTCCTTAACAAGCCCAGAGTTATATTTATACAAACACAATCGAACGCAAACCAACCTATTCTTTCTTAACTCTATTGAAATTTAGCATAGTTTTCAAAACTTTAGACTTAGTCAAAAACAAAATAAGACCAGATAGATTTCATGGCCACATTCTATATTTGTAGCATCGCTAACCTAAAATAATGAGAATAGTGGAACTACTAGTTAAGGGAGCTGTGCACATGTGGACAAAATCAATGGAACATGCCTACAAGAAAAAGACAACACCAAATGTGGAAAGTCGTTTATCCTAAAATTTGAGGGAACAATCTCACATTATCCATCTAAATAGTCAAATGAGGTAACATGTTCTATATGGTTCGATACTATGGCCAGTAGGATAGTTTTATATATAAATATTACATTATATAAATTTTAAGTGACATTCAATGAATCTTTACTTAATTCTATATATTTTTAAAATCATATAATCCTCAGGACAGTGCTAGTACTTCTATATAGTTTAGCGTCTACAGAAGAAGGAAGAGGCTTATACTCACCAAACTCACCACCAACGCCAATACATGAACCATGGTGTTTGAGATTTGGGAAATTAAGCCTAGCCAAGTCACCACGAAGCTTATAAGCAGCTTTGTCATAAGCCAAAGCAGCTTCTTCTGCTGTATCAAAGGTACCAAGCCAAAGCCTGGTACGGTTCTTAGGGAGTCTAATCTCAGCAACCCATTATCCATCTAAAATCATTTGTGATTCAATATTTTAAAATCTAATAAATCCGTCCCATAGAGACCATTTTACTAGTTGAGCAATAAAATTTGATGCCAACGTAATAAGATAAGCTATTCCGCCAAGTAATTTTATTGCAAAAGTTCAGCAAAATCTCATTATAATCAGATTAAGATGTCACACAGTTAAGTTGGACTGACTTTGCAAAAATTGTTGAAGCATATCAATATTGATGATATCTGAAGCTCTCACAAAATTCATTAACCGATGATGTAACTGAATGGAGGCCATTCCATCAAATTTTCTAGATCAAAGAGCAATGAATGTTACGTCCAGAGTTAAACAGGGGCGGGCCTGTAGATTAAATCAAGGGAGTTAACAGTGGCTTTCCAAGGAAATGAGCCTCTAGGTTTCCAAGAACAAGGTCAGCCATGACAGTTCGGGTTTCAACTGTGGCGCTTCCAACATGAGGCAACAAGACGACATTTTGTAGCCCAAGTAGCTCTTGAGGAACATGAGGCTCATTTTCATACACATCGAGTCCAGCTCCACCCAAACGACCTTCAAGCAACGCAGAGATCAGCTCTGGCTCATCAACATGCTTACCTCGACCGATGTTAATCAGGAAACCCTTCGGACCAAGTGCACTAATGACCTCCCGGTTGATGATATGATGGGTTTGCTCTGTAAGAGGGCAGGAAACAATGAGTAAGTCGCAGTTGGATGCTAGCTCAACAACACTTGGATAGTACTTGTATTTTGATTCCTGCTTTTGAGTTCTAGAATAGTAGCATATTGAACAATTGAAACCTTCAGCTCTCTTGGCAATTGCTGTGCCGATCCTTCCCAGCCCAATAATGCCGACAGTTTTCCCAGAGAACTGAAAAAAAATAAAAATCCAGATGAAAAAAAATAATCAACTTGTTTTTGGAAAATAGTGGGGGGATACTAACTGCTACATTTGGTTGGTTATTAGGGTTTACCTTAGTAGCGAGCTCGTAGCCACCACGCTTCCAATTTCCACTTCTAACATACCGATCACACTCGCAAATCCTTCTAAGAAGCGCAAGAATCAAACCAATAGTCAAATCAGCAACCTCATCAGTCAAAACATCTGGCGTATTCGTAACGCGAATCCCTTTCTCCTTGCACTTGACAAGATCTATCTTATCAACACCAACGCTGGAGCTCGAAATGATTTCCAGATTCGGAAGTGCGTCAATGAGTTCAGAATCGGCGCCGCCGGTCGAGCGTCCGACCACCGCGCGAATGGAGGCGCCGTGTTGAGTTAGGAAGTGTGATTTTTGTGGGTGGTCCCATAGGCGGAAAAGGTTGTAGCGTTTGTTGAGTTGTTGTTCTAAGTAAGAAGCTACTTGAGTAACCAGGAGAACGGTTATGGATCCCATTCACGCCTGTGGTTACCGTGTGCGTTGCTTTTTAAGTCACCTTCAACAACCACAATCTTTAACAACCGGCTTTGACAATTATTATTTTTAATGTAGTTACATATCCATTTCAACTCAGCTTTCCACTTCTGAGGTGTATGAGCAATTTTCATCCAATTAAGCATCTGCATCCAGATTTTACCATTTTCAACATAATTGAAAAATAAATTATTTCAACTTTCAGGCGCGCCATGCTAGATACAATTTTAATCAGTCATAGTCCCAAAACGCATAAGTCAGTCTTTAGTCACGAGCCTTTCTTTGTAGGCCATCCACAAGATAAAAGAGGCTCGCGGTCTAGCACTATTTCCAAAGAAAAGTTTTCTCCATTTCACTTTGGGTTTAGTGCCCTGAAGCTCCTTATAAACTTTATGTGTAATGTATTTTCCAGTATTGAGGAAATCATTTCAGGTACCCTTTTGTCTCATTGAGGCACTATGTTTAAACATTGCTTTAATGATCCAAGAACTGTGAGTTGGAGGTTCAAAGGTTGAAACATGTGAATCCAACGAATCTATAACTTATCCTCTTTAGCACAAACATTCTACAACAACTTCCCAATAGTTGCTTTGTTCCAAGCAACTAGTTTGATCAAATTCCTACCTCCTGCAGAAACATGATCGCATAATTGATCCCATGAAATGAGTGTTGGATTTTAGGCTCCCATCCTATGTGAAGGTCCAATATGTGCAAGCCCATGTGTCTCACTTATCTAAGTGGAGAGGGGTCAATTAGGGTAGGTGTGAGAGGTCTGATTTAGGCAAGAGAGGCAAGAGAAAAGTGAGAGAAGAGAAGAGAAACAGATTTTCGCACATACACATAGCAGTTGCACTAGAATCGCGATATCTCCTTCGTTCACCGTCCGATTTGGCCGAAATTTGAACTGCAGGTTCCTGACATCCGGTTCTTCAATCTGAACGGTGTGATCGGCGATCAGAGGTCTGAGGTGGGAGATATGGCCATGCACAGTAGCAGCCCTTTGGAGTTTTCTGGTTCTTCTTTGTTCTCTATTCCATGTTTTGTTGCCTTGTTGTTTTGGCTGATTGTTGAGCACGATTTGTGCTGCATTTGAGACTCTCTTGTACCCATACATTGATCATAGTGGAGCTTGTTTACTGGCTTGTGCCCGTGGTTGTTTTACTTCTCACTTTGAGAAGGTTTTTTCCACGTTAAAAATCTTGGTGTCTCTTTGTGTTGTTGATTTTTAGTTGCTGCATTATTTGTTGTTGCTCCTCACAGATTCAACAAGTTGGGGAAATTATATTCGTTGTGTATTGTTCTATTAGAGTTTTTACTGTTAATTATTGTTGAATTTCCCAACAGAGTGGCATCAGAGCTCTTTGGTTAAGGGGCTGTCTGACTTGTTTGAATGATGGAGGCAAATACAAATAGAATGATTTCTATGAATGGCACTAATTATCATTTGTGGAAGGGAAAAATGAAGGATCTGTTATTTGTGAAAAATATGCATCTTTCTGTGTTTGCTAGTGAGAAGCCGGAATCCAAAACTGATGAAGAGTGGAATTTTGAACATCAGCAGGTTTGTGGTTTTATTCGGTAATTTGTAGAAGACAATGTTTATAATCACATTGCTAAAGAGGATCATGCCAAATCCTTGTGGAAGAAGATTGAATCTTTGTATGCTTCTAAATCAGGGAATAATAAGTTGTATTTGTTGAATTCCTTGATGAATTTGAGGTACAATGAGGGAACTTCTATTTCTGATCACTTGAATGATTTTCAAGGGCTCCTAGATCAATTGTCAGGTATGGGTATAAAATTTGATGATGAAATTTTGGGACTATGGCTACTGAATACTCTACCAGATTCTTGGAAAACTTTTCGGGTTTCAATTACAAACTCAGCTTCTGATGGTGTTGTCTCTTTGCAAAGTGTAAAGGGAAGTATTCTGAATGAGGAGATGAGAAGGAAGGCACAGGGTACTTCATCTCATTCTGAGGTACTTGTCACTGAGAACAGAGGCAGGAGTCAGATAAAGGAACCGAAAGGGAACCGACAGAATAGCAGGAGTGTGAGTAGAGACAACAACAGAAGTAAGTCCAAGTCCAGATGCAAGAATGTTGAGTGCAATCATTGTCACAAAATGAGGCTCATACAGAAAAATTGTTTCATATGGAAAAGGGAGAACAAAAACAATAATAGTAAGCAGAGAGATAAGAATCATGATGACGATGACCGTGTTACTACTGCTACTTGTGATGATCTAATTATTCTCCGTGACCATGATCCAGTCAATCTTGTATCAGATGAGAGCATGTGGGCTGTTGATAGTGCTGCTACACTGCATGTTACACCAAGGAAGGAGTTCTTCACATCTTACACTGCTGGTGACTTTGGAGTGTTGAAGATGGGTAATGATGGTGTGTCCAAGGTAGTTGGTATTGGTGATATTTGTTTGCAGACCAACATGGGAGTGCAGTTGTTGCTGAGAGGAGTCAAACATGCTCCAGATGTTCTCTTCAATTTGATTTCTGTGCATATGCTTGATGAAGGTGGTTACAATAATCACTTTGGTTCTGGAAAATGGAAACTCACCAGAGGTAACTTGGTTGTGGCTAGAGGGGAGAAAGATAATAAACTGTATTGGGCTAAAGCATTGATTGCTAAAGACAGTGTGAATGTCATGGATATGGAGGCTTCTTTGTGGCAACGCATGCTTAGTCATATCAGTGAAAAGGGGCTGAATTGTTTAGATAAAAAGGATGTGCTTCCGGGATTGAAGAGTGCAGAGTTGGAGAAATATTCTCATTGCATGGCTGGTAAGCCGACTAGAGTATCCTTCAAGAAGCATCCTCCCTCAAGGAAGTCAGAGTTGCTTGAATTGGTGCATTCTGATGTTTGTGGCCCGTTGAAGGTAAAATCATTTAGTGGTGCACTTTATTTTGTTACCTTTATTGATGATTGTTCCAGGAAGCTTTGGGTTTATGCTTTGAAGACAAAAGACCAAGTTCTGGAGAAATTCAAAGAGTTCCATGTTATGGTGGAGAGACAGTCAGGCAAGAAGCTGAAATGCATTCGTACTGACAATGGTGGTGAGTATTGTGGACCATTTGATGTTTATTGCAAGCAGCACGGTATCAGACATGAAAAGACTCCTCCTAAAACTCCTCAGCTGAATGGTTTAGCGGAGAGGATGAATATGACTTTGATTGAAAGAGTTAGGTGTATGCTTTCTGAAGTAAAGTTGCCTAAACATTTATGGGGTGAAGCATTGTACACGGCAGTGCATGTTATTAATCTGAGTCCTGCGGTTGCTTTGAATGCAGAGGTGCCAGACAAAATTTGGTTTGGCAAGAATGTCAAATATGATCATTTGCGTGTCTTCGGTTGCAAAGCATATGTTCATGTTCCAAAGGATGAGAGATCCAACTTGGATGCGAAGACAAGGCAGTGTATTTTTATCGGGTATGGTCAGGATGAATTTGGCTACAAGCTATATGATCCAGTTGGGAAGAAAGCTGTTAGAAGTTGTGATGTGAAGTTCATGGAAGACCAAACCATTGAAGACATTGATAAGATGGAGAAGACTACACCAGAGATTGATAAAGTTTGTCTGATGTTGATCCAGTTCGGAGGCCTGTACATGATCTGGATACTGCTGAAAATAATGTTCAGAATGATGAGCAACATGATGATGTTGGTGACCAGCAGCTTGGAGATGATGTAGATATTCGTGTTGATGATGCTAAAGAGGAACATTAGATGTCACAAGATGAAGATCTTGGTGATGCTCCCGAACCACCTCAAGTTCAACTTTGGAGGTCTAATAGGCAGAGGAAGTCATCTACCAGGTATCCTTCTGATGACTATGTTACCTTGACAGATGAAGGAGAACCTGAGTGTTTTAATGAGGCCATGGAGAGTGATGAAAAGAAGAAGTGGCTGGATGCTATGCAAGATGAAATGAAGTCTTTGCATGATAATCACACTTTTGATTTGGTGAAATTGCCTAAGGGCAAGAAGGCTTTGGAAAATAGGTGGATTTACAGGGTAAAGCAAGAAAGCAATTCTACATCTCCAAGATATAAAGCCAGATTGGTGGTGAAAGGTTTTAGACAAAGAAAGGGTGTTGATTTCAATGAGAGTTTTTCTCCTATGGTGAAGATGTCATCCATAAGAACCGTGTTGGGTTTGGCTGCTACTCTTGATCTAGAGGTAGAGCAAATGGATGTAAAAACTGCTTTCCTTCATGGTGATTTAGAGGAAGAGATTTACATGAAGCAACCTGATGGTTTTTTTGTTAAAGGCAAGGAAGACTATGTGTGCAGATTGAGAAAGAGCCTATATGGCTTGAAGCAATCCCGCGTCAGTGGTACAAGAAGTTTGAGTCTGTTATGTGTGAGCAAGGCTACAAGAAGACTACTTCTGATCACTGTGTTTTTGTTAAAAAGTTTGTTGATGATAATTTCATTATCCTGTTATTGTATGTTGATGACATGCTTATTGTTGGGAAAAATATTTCCATGATTAACAGGTTGAAGAAGCAATTGGGCGAGTCATTTGCCATGAAAGAAATGGGAGCTGCTAATCAGATTCTTGGTATAAGAATCATGCGTGACAGGAACAAGAAGAAACTTTGGCTGTCACAGGAGCACTATGTTAAAAGGGTGCTTCAGAGGTTCCAGATGGAAAATGCTAAGGCTGTAAGTACTCCTCTTGCTGCTCATTTTAAATTGAGTGTTAATCAGAGTCCTTCCAATGAAGCTGAAAAATTAGATATGCAACGGGTTCCTTATGCATATGCTGTGGGGAGTTTGATGTATGCAATGGTGTGTACAAGACCTGATATTGCACATGCTGTTGGTACAGTCAGTAGATTTCTGTCTAATCCAGATAGAGAGCATTGGAATGTTGTGAAATGGATTTTGAGGTATCTTCATGGTACTACCAGTTTGAGGCTTTGTTTTGGAGGTGATATACCTACTCTTGTGGGCTATACT